AAACTATACATATTCAAATATTTCGTTGTTTACTTCCATATTTTTACAAATATAAGGTTCTTTGCTTACACTGCTTTCTGTTTTTGTTTGCACATGCAAATCAGCTGATCGTTTGACACTTTAAATTCTGACTAGGAACAGTTGCTCAGTTACTCTCTCAAAAGTGTTCCCACTTACAGGTTTTATGTCAATAGGAACGACTTCCTGTAAGTTCTGACTAAATCCTGTAAACCGGACTGCTATTAGAGCAGACTAAAAAAAATAATGTGCGCTAGCTTGCCACATGACTTTGCCACCAACAGCATGTATTTGTGAGAATCATTTTAAAACCTCGGACCTTTTTAGTATGAGCCTAAACCGTAAGCTATTGCATCCGGAATCAGTTCCGTCAAAGCAAATACCAGTGCCCAATTAAAAAGAAAATTGCGCGTCAAAACTTAACCGTTAGAGAGTGTCAAAATGGCTTAGGTTGCAAGTTTTTACTAGTTTTGCGTTCAATGACTTTTTCTGAAAATTTTCTCTTGCACTCAATTTTACTCTCTATTTTTCTTTTACGTTCTCGCTGCAAGTACTTACTGGAAAAGTTATTAAATGGACCTATTGTCATTACTTGGCACACCGTATACACTGTGGTTCTTAGTTTATATAAATGCAGCAAAACTTTTCAGGTAGGTTGTCGACCCTACCGAGTAAAAGTGTAATTTTTGAAGCGATGGTTAAAGTTGAAAAAATAAAGAAAATTAAGGCTTTTTAACCGACTTCCAAAAAAGGAGGAGGTTATTAGTTCGTCGGAATATTTTTTTATGTATGTTACCGCATAACTTTGGACCACGTCAACCGATTTCGATAATTCTTTTTGCAACGGAAAGGTAGTGTCTTATACTACTACTAATTTGGTTTAGATCCGATCATTGAATCATGAAATATATAGATATATATTTTTTTTAAGTCGGTTTTTTTTTGCTAAAAATTACTTGTTTAATTTACGCGTCAAAACTTTCCTACAATCGAAGTCTACCAATAGATTGTTATACACAATTTTAAAGGCCTATAAATCCTCTTTTCATGTTTGATTTTTAAAATCGGGTAAAAAATAGTCAAGCTGTCAATAGATAAGTCCCTCAAGTACAAAAATAACGCATTTTTTTAAGTAAAAAAAATGGAGGGTTCAGGAACTGTACGTTGAATCCGTACAACCATTTTCACCCCTGCAAATCCGTACCGTACGGAAAAATCCGCACATCTGGCAGGGCTGATGAAATCTATTATGAACGTTAACGAGTGAAAATAGAGAAAATAATAGGGTTTCTCGAGTACTATGTATATAACATTGCTTGCAAGAAAATAAAATTGGAGACATATTTCCGAATGCATATATATATTATACTATAGGATTATTTATATCTACTCCTTTTGCCGGTTCTAGCAAAATAATACTCTGTCCTGTCATAGGAACTCCATTATCACAATGTGTCCGGGGCCTCAAATAGATTAAATACGGCCCTTTAAATACTAACGTAAACAAGTTTTTAATATTTAGGAGATGCTAAATATTTACATAAGTATCTACTTGCATATTTGCGGGTACAAAATACGAAGTTCTAAATACTAGACGACTGAGGAAAAGAAATAGGAACACAGTGCAAAGCTCAAAAAGTGATGAGAATGAGACCTTTTGAATTCATTACAAGTAATTTTAAAGCGAAAAAACCACTTCAGTGCTAATATGAAAATTTAGGAGAGTAGCAGCCGGAAAAATCATAAAAGGTGATTTTCCTATGTATTTTTGGGCCACCCTTATGTATATACATATATACATATGTATATAAATAAAAGTTTTTTCAGTTGAACATGGAGCTGTGTTAAAAGCTCCTCCCATGCCCTCCCCTTCCCGCTCCATTAACGTTGGAAGATGTGCTTTTAAATGATATCCTTTCATTGGGATCGTATTTCTTCAACTTCAAATTGAGACAAAAGAGGAGTGGTAACCTACTTTTTCATTATTTCCACCTCCAACTTTTTGAAATTTGTTCCACAGTGTAAACGGTAATTTTCGCTTTTTTTTATATTAAAGATTGACAATGTAACGAACTACTTCGTGATCTCATTTCATATTCTTTTCATTTAATATACAACATAACGTTAGTACAATAAGAACCTGATTATCTTTTTTATTTAGAACAACTGTAATTTGAGATTAAGAATTAACATATGTAACTATAACGAATGTGAGCCGAAATCGAGTTCCAGGTGCGAATAGACTGACAAAAAATAGTATGTTAGGTAATTATATAATTATTTTCGGAATGTTTCGAAACTTTTCAAGATTGTTTTACTTTTCGGAACCATTTTAGGGATTTTCGAGACTTTATTTTTTAAAGATTTTTCGTGTTATATTCTTCCGGTTTACTGTTACTTTTTGGAATTTCGGGACTATATCGGGATCTTCGGGACGATTCGGGATCTTCGGGACATGTCGGGATTATCTTTGCATAGGTCCAAATCATGGCGGTGGAGAATTTAGTTGCGGTAGAAATAAAAAAATTAATTCATTGTCAAATTAATTTTCCATTATTATGATTGGATTAGGTCGTCGTCAATTTATTTTATGATCGCCAGACCACGAAATTACATATATTTGAAGTTATCGCGAAAAGTACTGAACGATGAACTAGAAAACTCATTTCGGGGACGCTTTTACAAGTTAAAAAATAATACATGATATATACGAAATGTTGTTTAAATCATTTTATACAGCTAAAATTGTTTAGGAGTGAGTATAAACTATCAAAAATTTTCATATTTTATTAGAACATAATGAGGAGTATTCTGGTTTTCGTACGAATCGAAAATTTGAAATTTTTGAATACAAAATGATACGAAAATTGTATGATTTTCGATTCGTACGAAAACAAGAATACGCCCCAATATATAAGTTGTATTTTGCTTGCTTGTCTTATCCGAGAACGTTCACGAAATGGGGTTAAAAAACAAAAAATGTGAAATATTTCCAGAATGTCAATGTGTTAGGTGAAAAATATTTTTTTATTTAAATTGCTTATTTCCTCAAAAGTTCAAATGGCATATATGGGAAATTGTTGCCAAAGAAAGATTAAATAAAAAGCCTCCTCCCAAGAAAAACCAGCACATGAAACCATGAAAAATGTCATGAAGAAGGTGGAAAATACTTCAACCATAGCTTCTGTGATAAATACGGTGACCATCCGTCCTGTGTTATACGGGACAGTCTTCTTTTTTGACCAATTGTCCTGGTAAGTTATTTATTTTACACGGCACGCCAAATGTTCTATATTTATTTTAATGTCGTGTATTTATCCCATATTCGGTGTTTCCACGCCTTTCAAGTGATGTTGCTACATATATGATACTAATTTTCTCCATAAACAGTTATTATTTTCTAATCTTAATGCTTGTGATTCGAATCGAGGAATACATACAGTGACTAAAATAGAAATTAGGACTCGACATTTTAGTAAGTATTTTTCCTTAGTTTATTTAATGTTTACTATTTATTTTATGAAAGTAAAGCTCTTTTTCTAATAAAAACCATATAATACCAAATTTCCAGCTTTGTGTAAAAAACTATAAAAATTAATCTGCAATGCTTCATCAAAATTTCAAACTCTTTAATTTGAATCTTTAGAAAAAAATTTCGTTTGCAGTTTTGTAACTCATTAAAATTTAGTATTAGAAAGTGTGAGTGGAAAGCTCTGCTCATTTGCTTCTCTCTAAAAAAAAAAAGGGTCGAACATACTTTCTTTGTATGATTATTATACTAAAATTTAACGAATTTTTTTACCAAATTTTACGGGGTAAAAATCTCGAGAAAATTATCCTACAAATTCGTTATGTTACACATCTAGGATCATTAAAGAAGGCTCTAAGATCTGCAAGCTGTTGTGGAACAAATTTGCAAAATTATTTTCTGTCCCCTATTCGGCTCTCATAAATATGGTCACCGTAGTGATAAACGAGATTCAAAGTGATATGCAAACGTTTAAAAAGCATGTATTTAATGCTAAAAATGTTAAAAATCAGTACAATGTTCATCGGTTACTATACATTTTTCTAAAAGTTTCTATACTTATTAAATCTTTTAACTTACTATTAAAAAAGTAACACTCTGGAAAATATTTTACAAAAATGCAAAAATAAGAAAAATAATAGTAATTTTTGAAGAGCCTGAAGGCTGTTTCGTATTCGGCACAAATTTTAACGTCGGTAAACGATTTCAGAGGATAAATTTACCAATCTTAAAAAAAAATATAAAAAATACTTGCCATGTACACTTTGTTTGGAAATTAACCATGCAACTCTACGAGATCCTAACAAGTGACGAATCTCGGATCTAGGCTTAGGACCAAATTCACAGTGCGTAGTTAACTTAGAACCGGCAGTGAACTACACACTTTTGTACTGAAATCTGTAGTTAACTGCCGATTCTGAGGTTAACTACGCACTGTGAACTTGGCCCTTACACATGTGCACACCAACCAATGCATGCCAGAATAAACAAAATTTTACAAACTTTTTGTCAGATATCTTACAATTGCATTTCAAAATCAAAATATTTTAAACTGTCTTTGCTAGAATGGCCCTGTTAGACTGTTTGATAATTAATTCATGTTTCTTTAAAGTAACACCTTTAATATTTAAGATATTTCTTTATCAACTAAAATAGTTATGATAGCTTTAATTAATATTCACCAGTGTGCAAAACTAAACACTGTGCGAGTCATTTCAATCGAAACGCTAATGTATGATTTTCAAATGAAAATAAATCAAGTCTACAGTTAAATAAATAACATTCTTCGCAGAATAATATTCAAATGACTCTCAACATTCTGAGTATGTACACACACACGTACCAGCTTAGAAAAGTGGATGCATACTCGTACATACATACTTATGTCCATACGTATGAAAACTCACAATAGATAAGTCAGCCATAAAACAGGGAAGAACCTTATGTTTTTTCCAATACTTGTTTTAAATGCGTTTTATTGTAATAAGTGCAATAGATGAATTTCAAGAGTATAAAAGGAGCTCATAAACGATTGGTCAATCATTGCATTGAAAACGTTTACAATATGAAGTTTCAATTGCTTATCGGCTTTGTGTTGGCGTTACTCGCTGTGGCTTTCGGTAATTTCGTCGCATTTAATAAATCTGATTAAGCTTACAAAGCCATTGTTCTTTACTTTCAGCCAACCCTAATCCTTTGCCAAAACCTGAGCCTTATCCAGGAGGTGGGGGCGGCGGCGGTGGTGGAGGTGGAGGCGGTGGTGGTGGCGGCGGCGGTGGCAAGTGAATCCCAAACCAGCCATTATTTGTCTACGAATTGTTGATGATCTAAAATAGTTACCTGTAAATGCTAAACAAATATACATAGACTAAGCGGTGGACGCAAAGTGAAGTACTGGAAGCAAAGTAATTTTCTTATTAAGGTTGAGGGTTAGCTGGGCCGATCGATAAAATTTCACATAGAAGAGTTACTGGTCTCCAGTTTTTCCAAGAAAATGGAGATTTCAGATCTTGATCGAAATGCACTTTTTTTGCGAGCTTTAACAAATTCCTACATCTTTGGTCCTCAATATCCTTCTGTGAAAACAAGGATGTAACGCCAAGTTATATACATAGGTAAGTCATGACCTTGCACAAGGCGGGCATGGCTCTAGTGTACCTTCGACCATATCTTCGTTACAAGTCGCGCACTTTTCAACGAGAACAAGCGCTAACTAAACTACGTGGGCTGGTGTGGTACAATACCCCGTAAGTAGCCCTACCAATAGTTTACAGCCTAACTTAAGATATGTATATCTACATACATACATACTTATTTTGTGGTTTTCGTGCTATAATATCGAATCATTATTTTGCCTCTTGAATGTTAATGAATGGATTCCGCTTTCGATTCATTCGCTATATCTATTGCCGCTTTTACAAAGTTGAAAAAAGTATAGATTGGCACCAAGTTTCTTTGAGGAAAGTTTGCTCAAATTTTAGCCAGTGCGTCGGCACGCTCTTTCCCTTTTATTATTTTGTCCCTGCTTCATGGCTGTTGTTGGTTGAGTTCCGGACTGAATATCGCAACACCCTTCATTAGGATCCTACTGTTAAGAAATTGTAGGTGTAGTGCTCGAGTCTAAGTCCTTTCTTCCACACGCCGCGTTCTGTTATTTCCATCTGGCAACTATTTGAAGTTGTCGTGAGGAATGCATAGTCGAAGCTGTCCGCCATCTGTCGTTAAGTCTTACCAGTTCTCAGATCAGTCCTTTGCCAATGAAATACTGGTTTAGACTTTTGTCTGGTACTACTGAAGGAGTCATGCAAATTGCTCCAGATTTACACAGACTTACCAGTCTCTATGTATATACTCCATAGCTTGTTGACATACATATGTATGTATGTTTTTTTAGTTTCGTCCACCCTACTAAACCATAAAGCACTGCTGTTTAGATCCAATCTGTAAGTGCAACAGATAAAATGCATGTCTTGCCGAGAATTTTCCTGCGGATATACATATGTGTATACATATAATGCATTTGAAGCGTTTTAAAATTTTTCCTACACACTTAGTCTTCATGTCAGTTTACTTTCATTTCAACTCTTTAACAAGGATGCTTCTTTGTCGGTTTGAATAGTAGTATCTCAGTTAGTGCAGATACCAGACCAGAAGTATGTACTTTCTTGTGAAAAGTATTAACTCTCTTTTATCTGGGTTCACAACGAGCCCATCTTCTAAAAGAAAATCGTTTACTTATCTAAGAATAACAATAGAACTATAAGCCGTTGTTTTCGACGATGCACGCTGTACTGTGTTCGAAAGACCGGGTGGCATGGGGCTTGGAATATATGTATGTACATATGTTTATAAAACAAACAAAAAAGATCTGAGCAGGAGTTTACAATGACTGGATGAATTTTAAATTTAAAAATTATTAAAATGGTTTCAAGTATATTCTTTTTAAGTAATGGTTTGATAGGGCTCTTCTTCTTCTTATTATTTGGTGCTGTAACCGCCAGTCGTTTCTTCTCTGTGCCAACTGGCGCCAATTGGAAGTGCCAAGTGAAGCCAAGTCCTTCCCCACCTGGTCTTTCCATCTCAGTAGGGGCCTTCCTCTTCCTCTGCTACCACCAGCGAGTTCCGAGTTGAATACTTTCAGATCTGAAGCGTCAGTGTCCATTCAAACGACATCACCAAGCCAGCGGAGCCGCTGCACTATGTCCATGTCCCTATAGCGGTCCCACATAGCGCGCGTTGCGCCCGATCGCAGCGTGGCCCTTTAGGCGGCATCTTTTTTCTCTGCAGCTTCCTGACACTCCTCATCGTACCAGTTGTTCTTTCGAGTTCGCTGAAATCCGACTACTTCTTCGGCGGCGGTACTTAATGAGCGGGAAGTGTGGCTCGCATATGTCGGCTTGTTGATGAGTGCTCTCTGAAAGTAGGTGTTAGAGTCGAGTAGCGAATGCATTGGCTGTCTGTTGTGATTGCAGCTTTTTGACGTTAAGCTTTCCTTGCATATTAGGGCCCACATTTTTTGCTGCACAGAGGTGGGTGCGTATCTTGGCTGCAACAAAATAGTGGTCCGAGTCGATGGTTGGGCCTCGGAGTGTACGTACGCCCAAAACACTGGAAGCATGCCTTCCGTCTATCACAACATGATCGATTTGGTTTCTCGTTTTTCGATCCGGAGACAGCCANGCTTGTTGATGAGTGCTCTCTGAAAGTAGGTGTTAGAGTCGAGTAGCGAATGCATTGGCTGTCTGTTGTGATTGCAGCTTTTTGACGTTAAGCTTTCCTTGCATATTAGGGCCCACATTTTTTGCTGCACAGAGGTGGGTGCGTATCTTGGCTGCAACAAAATAGTGGTCCGAGTCGATGGTTGGGCCTCGGAGTGTACGTACGCCCAAAACACTGGAAGCATGCCTTCCGTCTATCACAACATGATCGATTTGGTTTCTCGTTTTTTGATCCAGAGACAGCCACGTAGTTTTTATGCTTGAATCTAGTACTGCATACTACCATGTTTCGGACCCCGGCGAAATCGATCAGCCTCAGTCCGTTGTCGGACGTTTCGAAGTGGAGGGCTCTAAGCCAAGGGATTTACGCTGGATGTACAAGGATATAGTAGGGCGCATACTTTTATATAGAGCGCTGCTCTAGTGGCTTACCCTTACCAACGATTACGTCGTTAAAAATTCGGAAGCATCGTGGAGAACACAGCTGTCTTCACGGATCAAAGATGGAATATGGGGTAAGTGCAGGAAACGAACAAAGAAAATATCTACACCTCACGCCTATCTGGACCGGGCACTGTCTATGGATAATCGCCATAGCTTTCAACACATTCTACCACAGCTACAACCCAAACTCGAAGGGTAGTTGTTTACTTTCTCTGTGAGTGTTATTGCAAAGAGCGAAGCTAAAGATCCCACCAATACCGGCTAAAGGATGTAATTTCGCATGAGTGTGAGGTTTTAAAATGGCATAGCACTCTAACTAGGCATGGGTAACACTGCGCTGCGCGGCGCAATTGCGTTAACACCGTAGCCGGAGTTGCCGCGCCATCACCAGTATATGGAAAGCGCCAGCGCCATTAACACCAAGCAGCACATGAGGCACACACACAATTCGCCTTAACTCTATGAAAATTTACACGTACTTTGTTTTTGCTTTTGAGTGTTGAGAGCGCAAATTTAAAGCTTTTACTCAAGAATGATAGAATATCGTGGCATTTACTACATTCCTAGCAATTAAATTCAGTTGGCGGTACAAGCGTTGCTCAGCGCCGAAAATTATCGAAATAATAGACATGACACCACTGTATGGTGTGCTGCACTGTATGACGATGGGTACTGTGGTGACACTCAGATGGCGCCGTGTTCAATTCAGTACACTGCGCTATTGCGCTGGGTTAGTGCGCTTACAGCACAGGTGGCGCTGGCGTTATTGAGCTAGCGCCAAAAAAATTGCGTATTTACCCATGGCTAACTCTAACCAACCAACAGAAGCTTCAGCATGTAATACTATATTCATTGTGGAATTGTACGCCAAATACAAAAGGAAGCCCGATTTTGGTTAAAAATTAACCAAATTAGTAACTGCGATCACAATATTTAAATATATAATAATAATAATAGATTGGCGCTTACACATACATATGTTAGTGTTTGGCCGAGCTTCTCCTTCGATTTGTAGCGTGCGCCTTGATGTTGTCACTATTATAAAGTTAATGACGATGGATTTTGATAATGGCGAATGATAACAGGCTGGCTTATATTTTACATTTATTCACTTATTTAAGTATTACTTAAATATCTGGGATCATTGGAGGTTAAGCTGATTGAAAATTGTATAAACATTTTTCTCATATTATTACAACGATTCACTCAATTACTAATGTTGCTTTTGTTGGAAGTAATTCACATGCTTCCTTAAGCAAAATATTTGACTATAAAACTTATCGTACGCAGTGGCTGACAAAAGTCAACGAACGACTCCCATTACATTACGCATAACTAAGTAAGTAATTAAGCGGTATTAAATAACTTTTTATTAACAAAAAACATTAACTTAATATTCTACTTACATACAAAAGTACATATCTACATGCTGTAATACATACGTATGCATTTATATTAGGGTGACACAAAAATACATGGGAAAATAAACTTTTTTGATATCAAAAATAAGGAGAAACGTACTTTTTACTTGAAAGCCGCCGGAGCTTTGAAGTTTCCGATGTATTTTACATGGGGAAAATAAATTTTTTCGTAGAATTGCTATTAAATCGTTAAAAAGTAATTATTTTTTGATCCAATAAGACTATTTCCCTTCATAAGTGTTCAAAAAATAAACATTTTGCAAAGCCTCGAGTAATGTCCGGCCTTTCGCTCATGAATTCCACCATTTTTTTTCGCATTGCGACCGATTTGTTGCGATCTTCGGCCTGATATGTTGGAAATATTTAATAATAATCCAATATTTTTGCGTTTATACGCTTTATTTTTTTTTCATAGTTTAAAACAATTTCTTTTGCTCCAATTTTTTTGCTCTTCGTACAAAATACACAAAAATGACAGCTGCGTCGGATTCAGGCATACCTACATTACGAATCTCGAAGATGGCCTCCGAATTTATGATACGAATTATGATACGACAACGCGGATTTCAGCATACCAATTTTACGATTCGTTGCAAAATCGAATCTACGACGAATTACAGCATAGGGGTGGAAGTTTTAACCCCTACATATTTCTGGATAGAGTCGGCACCTATCTAAAAAATTGCAATGAGTGCGATATATCGTCGCTACCATGTCAAACTATCGAATGTGCAAAAATGCATATTGCATCATTTCACTTAATTTGCATACCTAAATACCTCATCTTAGTTAACAGATGAGTGGCAACCCTATTTAAAAATGTGTTAGTACAAAGCTTATGCGTACACCCTGCGTATGATACCTATTTTGTGGTATCAAAGCTTGACAGCGTGGTTGTTTTTGTTAATTCCATACATGAAATAGTGGCGAATCAGCTACACTTGATAGTAATAGGTTGAATAAGGGAATGAATTAGCAACGAGAGCTTACGGGGTGTGCATAGCTCAGTGGTTAGCGCTTCTGACTTTACACTAAGGTCGCTAGAGATTAAAGATGATGCGTGTTCGCAGCCCGCTGAAAGTCTAAAAAAAAAGAAATCTGATGAGGAGATGTGGTGGTGATCTCCGAAATAGCTGCTATAACTCCTACCACTAACTTCGCTTAAACTTTGTTCTTTTTTCCATTTTTCGAACGAAACTATTAATGCTAAGTAATACTGCATGAAGCATTTTTTTTTGTCTCATTTGCTTCCATATAATGACTAAACACAATTTATTTTTTTATGGCAGAAACCCGCAACATCCTCGGCGAAAAAAATTATAAAAAATCAACGGTAGCTTTTAGCCACTTGAAACTTGCACATTATTGGACTGAAATTGAATGCGCTATAAAACTGTGTATTCAAAAAAATTCTACCGCTTCTGAGAAAAAAGTTTGAAATTTTGGTGAGAATTTGTTGCACTTTTTTGCGGTCTTTTAAAAAGTTTTAAACTTGAGTTTATATGAGTTTCGTGAGAGAAAGAAGTGTATTTTAATTGAAAATTCTTAAAAATAAATAAATAAACATGAGTGGCAAACAATATCACTTTGAAATGAGGGTGCTATTGTATTGGCCAATACTGTATGTATGCACTGCCGCAGCGAGCATGCGCAAATTCAAGCAAAGGTCAACCGCTTTCAACTGTGTAGTCGCGTCGATGAATGAATGTTTCGAATCGCTAGTGATTTCCTCTTTGCTAAGTGATCGTGTGAAGTAGTGCAATCAAAGCAGCTGAAGCGCATGGATGCGGGCAGCAACAAAAATCTTAAGCTAATGAACGCATACAAAATGTATAAACAATGCAGCATTGTATGTAGATAATATAGAGTGATACTCGAACTAATAGCTTAACACAAATGTTTGGTACCACAATGGAGTCGTTGGAGCTGTTGCAGGCCATACTGGAATATAGCGCCTGCATGTCACAGCTGCTGGACGTAGTTGAGCAGCAACAACTGGAAGACTATTTGAAATTTATTAAGTATTTTTTAGTGTAGCAAACACAAATTCTATTTGATAAAGTGAATTTATTAAAGCTGCAATTTTTAGATAATAAAAAATTAATTTTTTGATTTATTTAATTTAAAACTGTAGAGAAATTCAATTACACTTTAATGAAGTGATACTTATAAAATGTTTATATTAATTTCGGGTATTCTCTAGGTCTTGCAAAAGCCGTGTACGGTGCACGCATTGCACGGTGGAACCGGTTTACCTATGCAAAACGTACAATCCGTATACCGTGCGAGGGTTTTGCAAGACTTGTATTAACATAGCAGTATTTAATTAAATATCCGTAACACCTTGTCCCTTCAACTCGCCAAGGACGCACGTCGCCGCAGCAAAGGCACGCTCGCAACTGCAGAGTAAAGAAAGTGAGTATTTAAATTTGAATTTTGTATAGTTACTAACTACTTACTTATCGATTTGCTTTTCAGTTTCATCGGAGCACTTTTGGAGAACTTTTATCAGCTTTTCCTTCTCAATTTGAGGATGGATAATTTCAAAAATTTCTACGACTCTATCTTCATCAATAGAATTCCCAGCATTGATCTGAAAGCAATTTAGAAATATGTATGTTCTTTTAGCCCGATACAAAAATCAATTAAGACTAAGAAGCTCATAAAATATAAATATGTACTGCGTAACTATATATAGCGCATTAACTAAGCTGCCCTTGAATTGCCCTAAAACCCGAATTAATAGACTTATGAATCCAAACTTGAAACCAAACGCCTCCGTTTTGTAGTAATTTTTTAATTAATGTGGGATTTAAACTGTTTGAAGTTGTTTTATAATAAAGTATAGTAGTTTTTAATACACATAAACATCGGCGTAGCCAGAATGAAATTTAGGGGGGCTGGACCCTATTAAGTTGGCATTTCAGGGTACTATTTTATATATATATAAGAAAAATTTGAAAGTTAGGGGGGGCTCGAGCACCCCCCCCTGCCCCTACCTGGCTACGCCCATGCACATAAACCCTGATTACTAACTAATTCAATAATCGGGGGAGGGTACCGTTACTTTGTGAAATTGTCAAAAACTAGATGAATTTTGTCTGTGCGTTAAAACTTTAGAAGACAGTTAAAAAACTTATCCGAACATATCAGCGATTTTTTAGAGTTTGTTTCAAGTTATGTTAACTTCAAATCAAGACTAATGAGAATGTTCGCTGAGGTTCGCTTCATAGTTTTTTTTTCAATTTTTTGGTGACTCCTTAAAATATATAATGTAGACAGTACATTGCCATTGCATATGAAATTTTTTCAAAATTAAATTAAATGTATATTTTACTCGGTCTAACCGATTGCGTAAGTTTTATGTGTATTTTGAACGTGGTAGTAAACCGATCATTTTGACTTTTTTTGATATATGTATAATATAAAGCTACCTATGAAATTGTATCAAAATCGAAGTACGTTTAGTATTGCCGCCCACTAGTGTGGAGGCTACTTAATTTTCAACATATTGAAAAATTTCTTCTTTTCACAGTTAAAAAAAGTATTACAAAAAAATTCAGCGGAACCGGAGCACGATTACTATTTTTGGCCGCAGATTATATGGAGTCGCGACACTGTGCTTCGTATCCTTCTCGCATATTGAATCTTTCTGTCTGTTTATGACATCCGGTCAAGGCTGACGCTTGAATTAAGCCTCTTATTTATATGAAAGTTTGACCAGTTGTGCCTATTTGTTTCGGATGTTGTTGCTGAGATGCTTCTTACATAATTTGCAGTAAGATAAGCCATTTAGATCTTATATAAAGTACCTAATCGTGATTTATAATTCGTTGCTGGCCAGGCAACATTTTTTGTAGAAATTAAAACGCCATTAAAGTGCATTTGTGCTATACTTATGGAAGATACATATTTACATACATATACATATGTATATGTGCGTATTTTCCCAACTATATAAACTTACCAATCCATTTTTTCTCATAATACAGTAACGCAAACATTTCGTATTACGCAATAAATTACCACGTGAACCCCTTAATAGCTCATCGAAGCCCTCTGCAATGGGTCGAACATGTTTTTGGCATACATCATAAAATATATTGTAGTATACAGACCATCGGTTATTTCTACTTTAACATTCTGATCCGCATCCTCATAGCAATCCTCAACTGCAGCCTCTGCCATGGTGCGTAGCGAGTCATAATGTGGTGGTGGAGGGTCAGCCAACATCGAAACTGTTAATTTGAGAGCAATGTAATGAAAAATATGAGATCACCTTTTTTAAGCCCCCACCTGGCAGCAATGATATTGCTAAGCAAATCGTAAGAACACTAAGGACTCTCATTCCGCAGATTCGTACAAGGTTTATGAATAGCAATCGAACTTCAACTGAAAATGAAAACACGTTTCACTTCCAATTTTACTTATCTAAATAATTAGAATAGAATTTTCGTTTAAAACCTGTGAAATTCATTTATTCTGAGATGCGAGTACAATAGGTTTTGTATGGGAAAAATTATTTAGATAGCGAAACGTAAATCTATGTGCTCATGTAGATACTTACATACATTATATATTAGGGTGGTCCCATATAAGATGCGGCAAAGAGTACTAAAAATGATCCGACTTTACTGAAATATGATGCGTGAAGCATTTTTGCTTAGGAATGAAAAAAATTTAATAAATTAAAATTAAAAATTAAAACTTTTTAATATACCACGTTTTTATAAATGGACTCAGTCCCATAGAATTTGTTTTGATAACTTTTGATTTTGAAATTTTAGCTAAAGTCATTATAAACAATTTATGAGATTGAAAACAAAAAAAGTGGAGCGCATGCAATACAAAGAATTAGATTTAATTGACAATAGTCAAACTACATAATATAGACCTAAAATTTCTACAGCGCAAGTACAAAAGTTGAGATCGATTTTAAGCGATCGTTATTCATATAGACAATTTTTCGTTTTAATTTACAATAATATTGTAACTCTACAATGCACCAAATCTTTTTAATAATTTTTGTATTCAATCACATCCTAGAATTTTAAGTCTTTAAAAAAAAATCCTGACGTCAGAAAGAAAAATTAAAAACGCAGTTATACGCATGATACAAAAAACAAGGTAGTTCCATTGTCACTTTTTCGTCGCCACATTAACAACCTGACAATTAAGCAGATTGTGACATTTCGTGCTACCATACCCAATATCTAAAATCCTTAAAATTTTTTGTCGATTTAAAAATATTTTGTTCTTACATGTACATTTTAAATTGTGTGAAAGCTGACAGTTTATAGAATTCAAGAGCGACGAAAACAAAGGGGGGTTAAGTGGTTAAACCTTACCTAAGCCGATCATAAAACTTGCGACGCAATTTCAGCTTATGCCTATGGGTCTTGGCGAGAATGTAATCCCTGAAGGTTTAGCTTAAAATGGTTCTCGGGATACACCCTGTGATCATGTTACTTTCCAGAAGGTGTCGCGCCACAAGAATTTTAGTTTATTTGGCTTATACCGCTAGCTTTCAATGGCTTCGAGATCGTTTTCTTATACCCCCATTTTTCATAGGTTTGGGATTGATTTCATTTACCTCTATTCCAAGTTCAACGGTGGCACGCCGCATTTTCCAATAAATCCATACATATATCCATACAAAGTTCCGGGACTCTACCACAAATAATTCCAGAGATATGCACTATGAAAAATTCGATTTGTATGGGAGGTTCCACACGCCCTTTAGATATCGGGTTTGTTTTAGCCTATAACCATTCTTGGAAAATTTGTGTCCGAAATTTCCAAAAAATCGGTACAGCCGGTATGAGCATTGCGACTCCTCAAGCGAAATGAACTAATGATTGCAAAAAATGAAATCAAACATCATAGTTGACCCAAAAAGAATATTAGACTTCATTCTCTCAACTTCTCAGAATGTAGAAAAGCTAAGAAATATATAATAAGATAGGATATATTAAAACAGCCTCCAAACATTTACTAAAGACGCCCTTGGACTACACAAATCAGTTTGATTAAAAATTTATTTGTATCTATTTATTTTATACTTCAACTTTGGGTGTGTCAAAATTTCATGTGAAAACAATATGTGTTGCTGGAAAAATTTTAGGCCCATGGGTCCTAAAGTAAATTCCATTTGCTGTCAAATGGACAAAGACAATATGTATTAAATAACACATCAAAATGTGTAATTTGAGTGTCTGAATTACATCAGAATCATCGTATCCGATATAGAAAAATAATATGTGAATGTGAAATAATGAGATGACATGAGGACACTAAAAAAATTTTAAAATATGTTCACTAAAATTCTATTAATATTAAAATAATGATTTGGCAAGTTGGTATCGAATTTAATGTTAAATTTAATCGTTTTTAAGACAAGATATTGATTATTTTTAAAAGGTATATATGAATACAACTATTTTCTTAATAATCCCAAATTTAGGATATAAAATCTCCCACACCAAAAAACTTACAATTGGGTAACGCCGCTTCGATTTTTTTACAATTGAGCAATTGTCAAAAATCTGCTTTTTAATCAAAAAGTTGTTTATTGAAACTACCTTCTTTTTTGTATCATGGTTATACGCTCCTAGTTTTGTGAATATGTTGATTTTTTTCATGTTTTAAAAATTTTTGGTTTTTGTCGCACGGTGTAACAAATCCCGTTGTTTTACAAAAAATGAAGCTCCTAACGAAGAAAATCAACGGAAAAACACAGAAATGTGTGAATGAAATCAGAGCAGGAAATAATGTTATTCATACGTCATACTCGTATTTATATACATTTATCTAATGCTCGTACCCTTTATAGGACAAAAAACTGTATAATACTGCGAAAAATTCCATTTCGAAGTATCTCCGTTTAAAAATAAAAGCATTTTTAAAGTACATTTGTACAGATGTGTGTATTTTTTATACTGGGCTATAGGTACAAAACAAAAAAAAATCGGGACTAAAATTTGTATTGTAATCACACAGTTGGTACAACACAGCGAACTTCTATTGAAAAATGTATATAAGTACACTTAACTATAAGCAAAGTAAATAAATTTGTATACATTTTGTGTATAGATATGGAGTACATATTTTAAGGCTTCGTCTTCTGCATAAACATCCGCAGTCTAGTCATGATTGGGATAAAGAAAAATATTTATTCATTGACCCGATTGGGGTACGATTTCCACCAAATTTTGGGCGAATGCCGAACTGCCTTAGCAAAAGCCATGGAAATCCAAATTTCTCACCTTGTACATTAGACAAATTCAAAAAATTTGCATAACAACAATATTCTATGTAGTTTAAAGTGTCTTCAAAATAGCTTTGATTTTTGAAAAGTTTTTTTTTTGCGACTACGTCATGCAAAACTACTGTCGGTGCATTCCAAAAGTCTTATTTGCCCAACCTAGATGAAAACTACCATCTAACCGTGGTTGCGCACATTTGGAATTACAATCTACTAAGGTTTAGAAATAAAAGACACTGATGCTTTGTATTTTGACGTTTTGGAATGCAACCTCTGTGCGACAATTTGGTTTGTATGGAACGCCAATTCTTAGCCTATTGAAACTCTCACCTTATTACACTGTGAGACAAATGGTAGGGGTCAGTGATCGGGAAGGGTTCAAACTACCGGGGAAAGTTATATCGGTAAAAAAGAAGTTATACGTGTCCCGGCGTTTCGCTGGGTCACGTCTAGGAATCGAGATATATCGATTTGAAGTTAGTAACTATCATATAGGGGAAATTGTCACCTTTGTGTCTTTTTTTTTGCCATAACTCGAGAACCACTAGTCCGATTTTGCTCAAACAAATTTAAGAAAATTAAAAATTACAATTCCTTTAATCTGTTCATATAACGTTTTTCTATATAATCAACAGTTTTGCTGTTAAAAATAAATTAGGCAAAAATAATTTTTTTTTTTCTTCATACATTTATTTTTACCGGCAAAACTGTTGAGTATATAGAAAAACGTTATATTAACAGATTAAAGGATTTTGAGATTAAGAGATTAAGAGATTAATGAATTTTTTTAAATTTGTTTGAGCAAAATCGGACTAGTGGTTCTCGAGTTATGTCAAAAAAAAGACCACCAAAGGTGACAATTTCCCCTATATATATATATATATTTCCTAGACGTGGCCCGGCGTTTCGCTGGGTATAACTTGTTTTTGACCGATATAACATTTCCCGTTGGTTTCATCCCATCCCGATTTTGACTGTCGCATACTGTTATTAATCTATCTATATATATAAATGTGAATGTCTATTTGTTTGTTTTTTACCTTATAACTTCTGAAACGCGGCACGGAATCGCACGAAACTTTGCACACTTATTTGCTTTTACCCAGGGAAGGTTATAGGTATAGAGAAAAATGGACAGTAGTGGAAAAGAGGGCGTGGCATGTGCTATACTATATAAAATTTTCATGTTGTATATCTCTTGAAATATTTATGATAGAGCATTGGGACATGCTGTCGAGATAAATAAAATTAATTCCATACTCATGCGAAAATATGGGCGGTATTGGAAAAGGGGGCGTGGCACCTCCCATAGGCGTGTATTATTTAATCAGCTCTAACTTCGTGACCGTAAGTCACATGAGCTGGAAACTTCAGGTAGATACATACATATCGCTACCTAAAGGTGAAAAGGTGCCAAGTCCAAGTCTACGAGTGGTAGTAGGTGACTTCAACGCGCACCACGATCTCTGGCACTCAAGTCTGGCAAATGATCGTAGGGGAAACCTATTGGCTGAGCAGATACGACGATTCGACATTCTGCACAATGAACGACGACGCACCCACTAGGATTATGGGCAGCTGCTGCAGCTCGCCAGACATAACAATAGTCAGCGCTGGTCTGAGAAACAGCGTATCACGGCGGCCTATGCTGACTTTGGCATCAGACCATCTGCCCATAGTCATCTCGATCGATAAACCAACCGACTTTGCTTCCGCGGAACACCGGACCTATATCAACTTTTCTAAAGCTGATTGCTGATTCCGCAGGGTAGTCAGCGCCGCATCGGATCGCTTCATACCATCCAGACGCATCGCGGAAGTCCGCCCAAATTTCCCGGCTGAAGCAGCTGTACTATCAAATGAGCGTGACCACCTACGCCAAGTCGATCTCGGGTATCCTCGCCTGAAGGGCCTTAATTTAGAGATTTGAAACTGCTAAATAAGACAAAGCACTGACAAAAATAGAAAGAGAAAAGACAAAAAGATAATAAAAAATTTCCCGCAGTGAATTTTCAGAGCTATGTATTTATAGTATTCATCACAAATTTGTACTAGAAATTATTTCGTAGTAGGAAAGTATATTGTAAACGTAATTGTATCAAAAAAGGTCGATTGTGTCAAAAATGCCAACACTGACGCTTTCTGAGCTGTTTTGAGCACCCGCGGGTACCCGTGAGCTCGTGTGGAACAAACCTAATATTAGCATTTTTGTTTTTCTAAGCAACATTGGGCCATATGAACAAAAACTTAACAATTGCGTTTAATTTAAATTTCCTATTCTCTACTTAAATTTATTCGAATAAATCGATTAAAAGACTTGAAATTTTATGAATAAGCAGGTGCTTAGTTTTAATGCATACGGCCCATTAAGATCAGTATTTTCGACAAATAAATTAACAATTTCGTCGTTGATAAAGTTGAAAATAACTTCACTGGAGACTTGT